GGGTGAGCAACCTTATAAATGTCTTGACTGTGGGAAAGGTTTCATTCAGAGCTCACATCTTATTAGGCACGAGAGAACCCACACGGGTGAGCAACCTTATAAATGTCTTGACTGTGGGAAAGGTTTCATTCAGAGCTCACATCTTATTAGGCACGAGAGAACCCACACGGGTGAGAAACCGTATAAATGCCTGGAGTGCGGGAAAAGCTTTGTTCTGAGCTCAGATCTTATTTCACATCAGAGTAGCCACATGGGAGAAAAACCCTATAAATGCCTACACTGTGGGGAAAGTTTTGATTGGAACATGCAGCTTGTTAGACATCAGAAGCAGCACACGGGTGAGAAACCCTACAAATGCTTGGATTGCGGGAAAGCATTTAGTGACAGTTCTGCCCTTATTATTCATCAGAGAGTCCACACAGGAGAGAAACCCTATAAATGCCTCGACTGTGGGAGAAGATTCAATCGGAGCGCGCACCTTACTAGACACAAGAGAACCCACACGGGAGATAAACCCTATAAGTGTCCAGACTGTGGGAAAAGCTTCAATCAGAGCGCGTACCTCATTTCACATCAGAGAACTCACACAGGAGAGAAACCCTATAAATGCCTTGAGTGTGGGAAAAGATTCAGCTGGAGTTCCAATCTGATTTCCCATCAAAGAACTCACACAGGAGAGAGACCGTATAAGTGCCTGGACTGTGGGAAAAGGTTTATTGACAACTCTGCCCGTATTAAACATCACAAAATCCATACAGGAGAGAAGCCCTATAAATGCCTCGACTGTGGGAAAAGTTTCAGTCGGAGATCAACTCATGTTCGACATCAGAGAATCCACACAGGAGAGAAACCTTGACTGTTGGAGACGCTTCAGCTGGGGTCAGCTTGTATCAGGCATCAGGAAATCCATACAGGGAATAGACCTCTTAAATATCTTTAACTTGGAAAATGTTTCAAGTGGAATTGACATTGGGGACTCCACACAGGAGAGAAATTCTATCAGTTCCATCACTAGGACTGGCTTTAGTTTTTTTTATTTTTTTTAAATCCAATTCCCCTGCAGATGTCTTTGATTTCATTCATGCTAAATCAGACTCATGAGGGCTGGAGATTTAAGTGTCACAGACCTGGAGGAGAAATTCAAATGAATCCCCCACACCCTGTGATTGTTCTGAGCTTAAATCCCAATGTACACATATTGGTGAAGCAGCTTCTGGTATCTTTCCTACCAACCTCTGATTATTTGCAGACCGTAGTTTTGCTTTTCTCCTTTCATTAGGATGATGTTAAAACTTTTTTAACTAATGTGACCGTGTAAGAAGGCTCCAAACAGGGCAGGCATAGAGAGTTCAGAGGAGAACATGGGTAAGTCCGTTCTCCTGATTTTGAATCATCTGAAACAAGCTCTGGGATGTTGATTATTATGAAACCGCGAGTGTCTTATAGTCCACCCTGTATTGTGACCTATTTGGAATCATAGACTATCAAGGTTGGAAGGGACCTCAGGAGGTCATCTAGGCCAACACCCTGCTCAAAGCAGGACCAATCTCAAGATAGATTTTTGCCCCAGATCCCTAAATGGCCCCCTCAAGGATTGACCTCACAACCCTGAGTTTAGCAGGCTAGTGCTCAAACCACTGAGCTATTTGCTGAAGGCCATTTGGTCACCTCGTAAGATATTAGTTTTGTTTTACAGGATGTAGTGCAGGTTTATTGGGGATGCCATAAGACAAATGACCACTTGCTAGAACACTGTCTTATTTTATTGGTACTATTTTATGACCCTTTGCCATGAGATCTTAGTGTTGTTTGAACAATGATTATTATACATCACCATCAGCACAAACACTGATGGGGGCCAGCGTGAGAGTCGCAGGCCAAGAGGCAGAGACTGAAACAGGGAAGGAAGTTCCTGCTGGATCCCTGCAGTGACGTGAGATACGGTCGGGAGAGAGATAAAGGGCTGGGAAACTGCAGGGTTTTCTCTGGGGAGCCAGACAGAAAAGGCTGAGAATTGTTAACTTGCTGTACTAGAGCCGGAGAGAGACAGGAACTAGCCTGTGATCGCTGGGTGAAACTGTCCCTGAATCCTAAAGGGCTACAAATGACGCTGCTTGTGTGGAGTTGCTGGTTGCATCAATGATTCCTGGGTGAACAAGGCTGAGCAGAGATAGGAAGGAAACTAGGGAAATCAACAGGCCTGGCCGGCCCTGAGGCCAGCTGACGTCCATCGCTGCGACTGGAGGGCAATGAGGAGTCTTTAAACCACGATGGTCACCGCTATCCCCCTCCACAGCATCCTTTATTGGGACAACAGAGACTCTCTCAGTCATACTCACCACATGCACGTCAAGGACGTCCCTGGGGGCTAAACCCCTCAGCCGGGATTGGAGATGCCGCACCGTTCTCCGGCTCCCGTTAACCCGAGCTCCCTGGCTTTCCTGCTCTCACAGCGTTTGCTTCTCTGTGACTGAATCCCGGCGTCTCTAATGGATCCGCTGCATTTTTCTGCCCACTGTACAACGTTGCTCCGTTGCCGATGCCTGCGGGAGCCGGGAGCAGCACCGGGCTGGGCTGGGGCTGAAATGCTTTGCGCTGAGCTGGGCTCTGGGTGTGAGGAGGAGATTTTAGCTTTTATTTTTGGCTTGGAAAGAATAAAGTCGAATTTAGTTTCTCAAACTCTTTTGTCGTGAGTCATGCGTAAAAATGGCCTTTAACGGACTCGGAGTGCACCTGGGAATCTTCTTTGAGGCTTTATTTCCCCAACCCTGAGCACCACAGACGGCACATCCTGGAGCAGCCAACTCTGCGGGCTCTTCGTGGCTAATAGCCATTGATGGACCTATCCTCCATGAACTTACCTCATTCCTTTTTGAACCCAGTTATAGTTTTGGCCTTCACAGCATCCCCTGGCAATGAGACTAATAAAGAAAAAACCAATACCGTCCTTATGGGGTTTACATACGACAGCCCTGCATTTGAACTCTGTAGAAGTGCTTTTCCAAATGACAACACTCCCTTTCTTTCTTTGTGTCCAGATTTCCAACAGAGCTTTCTCAATGGTAGCCAATTGTGATGGGCAATTACAACTTACGACCCCCTTACAACTTGCTACCCCCTGGATCGGGAAATGGGGAAAGGTGAGAGCTAGCAGATTGTGACAGGCGTACCTCCGTCCATCACAATTTGCTACGCTGGACCAGAGGCTGGAGAAAGGTAGAATAGCAACTGTGACAGGCAAACAGGCGTCATCACAATTCGCTACCTCTGGGCCAAGGATAGGGAAAGGCGAGAGGTAGCAAACTGTGACACACGACCCCCCACATGTCACAATTTTCTACCCCTGGACCAGATGAGGAATGGTAGCAAACTGTGACAGGCAAACCCCCCATCCATCACATTTTGCTACACTTGGACTTGGGGGTGGGAGGAGGTGGTAACACGTTGTCACAGAGCAGCAGAAAAGAACACCCAGTAGATGTCAAAAGCAACAAAGAGTCCTGTGGCACCTTGGAGCATAAGCTTTCATGGGTGAATGCCCACTTCGTCAGACTCAGTAGATGTCAGTAACTGTGACCGGTAGCAAATTGTGGTGGTAACAGTTTGTA